ATTATCATGTTAATTGCAGCACACTAAGGAAACATGAGCAATTTTGTTGTGGAAACGTGGTAAGTTGGTTGTTGAATTCGTTTTGCTATGAACGAATTTTTCCTTCGGGATAAAAGGCGTCTGCGTCTTTCTTCTTCAATAGGACGTTGAAAAGTAAGACCAAAACTTTCAAAACAGAAGAGGTGCGCATATGATGGCTTATTGGACTAAGTTTAATACTTTCTCAAACTGTTAACTTAGCTCTCTAAGCCAGTGCGAGCCTCTCCGAAGGAGAGGTGAAGCACTGGTTATCTATAGCATAGATGTTTACAATCCATGTTATTGGCACTTACGTTCAAAGGACAAATCTCCGGTTATTTTGGATATCCGATGCTCTCTGTCATCAACTTTGGGCAAACTTAAACAAAATAGTAACATTTTCAACATTAAATCCGTTTATTCATTAAATCTATGATATTGGTGACAAGCGAACGACAGTTTCGCCAATGAATTCTCCAGTGGCAGTGCCGGATGCGAAACTAGCTGCTGGATCAGTTTGTCCTTGTGACATGGCAGCATACTGCACCGTCATCTTCTCTTCAGCACATTTCGTATTCTAAGCAGCAAAAATATATGGATCATAGCGTTGAATGAAAGGGACCATACAGCTCTCATCAGTGTTATTGTAGCTTTACCCAGCTCCGGAATTGTTCCGTATGTTTCTTTTGCAGAGTAATTTGAATTTGGTGGGAAAACTAGCTGAACACGAGTACCGTTTTACAGTCTATTATTTTAATGCTTTATAATACAAACCTTGAAAGCTATTTTTCTATCACTGTTGTTCTTGAGTTCTCTCCTTGATCCACCGCTCCCCACGAAAAGAGGATTTTGTGAAGGAACCACCATCGACGGTATAACCATAGACATTCTTACAAATAAATGAGTCCTACTCGTTATTGCAGCTCCATTTTTGTTATCAGCTTACACACCAATGATCACTTTATTAAAGTGAACTGGAAAGCTTACAGTCTAAACTTTCTTTCAATTCACGCATTGCCTGTTGGTGATCTGCATTTTTGAAAAATCTAAGGATAGTAAATTATGCCAACGCTTTTTAAAGGGTAGGTTTTCAAAGTGTGATTAAAATAGCGCAGGACGCTGCAAATAGTACTTGAAGAAATAGTTCCCCTCTAGCGCTTTGAAGCTGAGAATGTTGGCTTCAACATGAGCAGAAACTCAGGCAATGGAGCGCCTAAGTGGTAATGAATTGGTAATTTTTCAAGAGTTTTGCCAAATGTGATGAAAAAGGCAGAGTATTATAACTTCCAACTTCTGCCCGAATGATTGCGGAACTGCAGCGAATAGCACATTCGACTAAGTAAGGATCAATAGGTTAGG